ACGCCGGCGCCCTCGACCTGCGATTGGTCAACCGCGCTCTCGCCGTCGCCGGACACGCCGGCCTCCCGGCCACGCTGCAGCTCAAGGCGCGTCTGTGCGTCGCCGTGCAACGTCTACAGGCCGGCCTGGCCAGCCGCGACGTCGGCCGACTCCACTCGCACGTCTTCCTCGGCCACGCCGCCGACGCCGGCGACGGCGCGTCGGCCAAGCTGACCGCCGACACGCCGTTGCGCACCGTCGCCGTCGACTTTGACGACCAGCTCTTCTCGTCGCTGGCGCCTGCCGCCTACACGACGACGCCAACGCCAACGTCGACGTCGACGTCGACGTTGACGTGTGGCTTCGAGGCGGCCGGCAACCCGCAGTCGGTGTTGCTGGTGCTGGTGCGCGCGTTGGCCAGTCCCGACGAGGTGCAGTTGACCGGCGGTCTGCGCTGGGGCGGTCTGCGCAAGCTGTTGCCGCGCCACGCCGCCAAGACGACCGAACACGCCTGCCTGGCCGACCTCGTTGCCGAGGCCTCGGCCTCGCCGTCCGCCTCGCCGCCCCTCGCGCCGCCCCTCGCCGACGCCTCGCTCGGCGCTCGTCTCTACCACCTGCTCCGTTTGTCGACGCTCGGCCACCAGCCGCTGCCGTCCGGCCTCTACCTCGTCTACCTGCAGCTACAAGCACGACTCAACCAGACGGCCAACCTCCTCGTCGCCCGCTCCCAACGACTCGCCAGCCCACAAACGCCAACTCCACACCCAACGCCGACGGCGACGGCGACGGCGACGGCGAGTGTTGTCGTGTTCGGCGTGCCGCCGGTGCAGCGAGTGCGTTCGCGCTGGCACGTCACCCGCGACGAGTGGTGCGGCCTGCGCCGCTTGGCCGCTTGTCCCGTCGAGGCGGCCGCGGCCGGTCGCCAACTGGCCCGGCTGCAGGCCGGCGTCTTTCGCGACCCTCGTTGCCACCGCCTCGCCGGGCAGGTCGCGGTTGCCTGGGGCCGACTGTCGCGCCGCCTCGACCTCGCCGAAGCGACGGCCCGCCAGTGCCGCCTCTTTCTCGCCGAGGTCGTCCAGTTGGCGCCGCGCCTCAACCTCATCGTCGTCGCGCCGCCGCCCGGCGACGAGGTCCGCCTCCTCCCGCTCGACGCTCAACCGACGCCAACTCTGACGCCAACGGCGACGGCGACGGCGACGGCG